ATATGGAAGATTACACAGTGTAGATAAAAAACTAGCTATAAGTTCAACTAATACTCCCATCTCACAGGATGGTTAGTCATACATGGAATCAGGGGAGAAAATACCAGCCTCAATACAAAAAACAAATCAACTCTGACTAAACAATAACTTCACGATTTTCACAAGAGGTAAGCACTGAATCATGGAAACATTATAACTACTCTTACTAGTTTCTACAAGACTCCTCTCAAACAATGTATTTTTTTAACATGCTTAGGTATACACAGCAATGTGCTGCTTCCCTATTCTGTATGAAGGACCACACAGTGTAGATCAAAAACCAGCTACAAGCTCATCCAACATCCTCACCTCACAGGATGGCCAGTCATACATGGAATCAGGAGAGAACAAAATACTAAAAGCTGATCTATTAGCCTCCATTGGCAAAATCTAGGTACAGCACAAGAATATCTTCCAATATTCCTGAGTGTATGAAGTAATTACAGAGCTCAAAGTGCCTCATACCATTTGGTATGAAGTCACTGATAACAGGGCAATCACAGATATAGTGTTGAAGAGTATGTCCTCTCAAGTAAGACTAAAAACAGATTTTTTTTTACCCAGATGGTTAAAACCCATGGAACCGCCTACCCGCTGAAGCCGTACCTGCCAAAATCCAGCTAGAAAATATTATTAGGACAATTGGCGGGACTTAACAAGCCCCCGGCTTTTTGTCCTCGTCGAGGCCACTAGATAGTTAGTGGCCCTTGGGTAAATTTAGGTAAATAGTAGTAGGCATCCTTCAGTCTCGGAAGACTATGGAGTTGCGCCCTAACAGGGCGCAAAGCCTGGGTTGGTAGATATGGAGGAGAAGCCGTTACCCATGCAGCAGGTCCTCCCTCTCCACGTTGCTGAAATTATCCAATAGAAAGGCAAATGCCAATACACATGGATCCAGCAACGTCGCAGGAGCTGCCAGAACGAGGTCGACGTCAACAACGTAAGTAAATATATACGTAAATAGATCTCATCGTTTCTCAAGTCTTGGGAGCGACAAGGGCAGCTATACACTATCTCTTAGAATTACGTAGGTAAACAAAAAATGTAACGTATTTGTATACTACAATGTCGGTGCTGACTGTACAAGTTGAAAAAACATTGTTTTGCTTCGAAATGTGCTAATTTTATAAGAAAATTCGACGTAAATATGTCGCAAGTGGTCACGGATAAGCTCCGATATGGCAGCGTCGTGATTGGCTACAGCTGTAAGATGAAAAATGTTACCTTCTCTCTGAATTGCCAAACTAAAAGCCTAGTGACATCTAGCGAGACTTTACTTACTGTCGTATCTTTCACTGTGTCTAGCAACATCATTCTCAATACCACATCACCATCCTAAATCGCCAAGGCCAACAATCTCAGGGAGAGGGAGACAGCTACCTTGCCGTAGTCTATCTCAAGCAATTCTCTAATTGAGGCGTGAAAGAATATTGCTGGCCGCCCTTTCGTCAGTTACACTGTAACGTCAGCTTAAGCCTCCTGTAACTCTTCTCTCCATAACTCTTCCCCTAATTTTGTCCAGCTAGTTAATGTTCAGACCTCGCTACCTTACCTGCTCCACCCCCAACGTCACACAAGTCAGGGGCAATAATAACCACTAGGAGTTTCCAAATTTACTTAAAATGCCATATCAATATAACTAATTAATACATCAATAAATAAATTCTAAGACTATCCTACTCTAGTATCCTAGTCTTCTAGAAATGGTAAAAAATTATCCCGTTATATTTTACTATAAATTCAAAACTTCAATTTATCAGCTCTATTTTTACAAAGAATATCTCATCAACCTCAACAAATATGTATTATATCAAGATTACTTCCACTTATACAATACAAGAATAATACAAGAATACATCCACTTATGGATGTCAACCAACAAACTAACACTTAACACAGAAAGCTTCCTAGAAGGTTGTAACAAATCCCATGAGCACCACACCAGTAACAAATACCTATTTGATATTCCAAGAGTACGACTTAGTCAAACTAGAAATGCTCTATAAGTCAAGGGGCCCAGAATGTGGAATGACCTTCCCAATTATGTTAAAGACTGTACCTCTCTCAACCAGTTTAAGATAAAAACTAAACACTACCTAATTAACTCCATGTAACCTACCTTACTTCTAAATGTCAACCCATGTCTCTGATTTTAAACAATGCTGTTTGTTGACCTAAGTTGATGGATTTATAGATAGAGCTAGTACATACAATGCCTAAAGCCACTATTACGCAAAGCGTTTCGGGCAGGAAAAACACTAAGACTAAAACTTAATACTAATTGAGATTAAAGCATAAATTTTGTTGAGAACAAAAAATGAAAAAGGGGGGGGAAGAAACTTGGCTGAAAAAAAAATACAATTTGGTCAACAAACAGTATTCTTTAAAGTAGTAGACAGCGGTTGACATTTTGGGGGTGAGGTAGGTTACATGGAGTTAGAATCTGGAGTTAGGATCTGTTAGATTAAGGACCTGCCCGAAACGCTGCGCGTACTAGAGGCTTTACAAGATTGTAAACACCATATTATGTATCCTCACATTCCCAATGTACCTTCTTGTATATAAATAAATAAATAAAAAATAAATAAACTTCTTCAGCCTAAGCCCTCTCAGCAATCTTTCATTCCTCTTAACATATATAATTCATATTAAAATATATATATACAATATATAGATATTTTAACAAAGTTTAAACTTCTTTGTTTAGTAGTGAAGTAAACTTACTTCAGACTCCCGTGGCTACTGGCGGATATTAGCCCAGTAGTCCGTGGCTACTGGTGGATATTAGCCCAGTAGTCCGTGGCTACTGGTGGATATTAGTCCAGTAGTCCGTGGCTACTGGTGGATATTAGCCCAGTAGTCCGTGGCTACTGGTGGATATTAGCCCAGTAGTCCGTGGCTACAGGCGGATATTAGCCCAGTAGTCCGTGGCTACTGGTGGATATTAGTCCAGTAGTCCGTGGCTACTGGTGGATATTAGTCCAGTAGTCCGTGGCTACTGGCGGATATTAGCCCAGTAGTCCGTGGCTACTGGTGGATATTAGCCCAGTAGTCCGTGGCTACTGGTGGATATTAGTCCAGTAGTCCGTGGCTACTGGTGGATATTAGGCCAGTAGCCCGTGGCTACTGGCGGATATTAGCCCAGTAGTCCGTGGCTACTGGTGGATATTAGCCCAGTAGTCCGTGGCTACTGGTGGATATTAGACCAGTAGTCCGTGGCTACTGGTGGATATTAGCCCAGTAGTCCGTGGCTACTGGTGGATATTAGACCAGTAGTCCGTGACTACTGGTGGATATTAGACCAGTAGTCCGTGGCTACTGGTGGATATTAGACCAGTAGTCCGTGGATATTAGTGCAGTAGTCCGTGGATATTAGACCAGTAGTCCGTGGCTACTGGTGGATATTAGACCAGTAGTCCGTGGCTTCTGGTGGATATTAGACCAGTAGTCCGTGGCTACTGGTGTATATTAGACCAGTAGTCCGTGGCTACTGGTGGATATTAGACCAGTAGTCCGTGGCTACTGGTGGATATTAGACCAGAAGTCCGTGGCTACTGGTGGATATTAGCCCAGTAGTCCGTGGCTACTGGTGTATATTAGACCAGTAGTCCGTGGCTACTGGTGGATATTAGACCAGTAGTCCGTGGCTACTGGTGGATATTAGACCAGTAGTCCGTGGCTACTGGTGGATATTAGACCAGTAGTCCGTGGCTACTGGCGTATATTAGTCCAGTAGTCCGTGGCTACTGGTGTATATTAGTCCAGTAGTCCGTGGCTACTGGTGGATATTAGTCCAGTAGTCCGTGGCTACTGGTGGATATTAGTCCAGTAGTCCGTGGCTACTGGTGGATATTAGCCCAGTAGTCCGTGGCTACTGGTGGATATTAGCCCAGTAGTCCGTGGCTACTGGTGGATATTAGGCCAGTAGTCCGTGGCTACTGGCGGATATTAGCCCAGTAGTCCGTGGCTACTGGCGTATATTAGTCCAGTAGTCCGTGGCTACTGGCGGATATTAGCCCAGTAGTCCGTGGCTACTGGCGTATATTAGTCCAGTAGTCCGTGGCTACTGGCGGATATTAGCCCAGTAGTCCGTGGCTACTGGCGTATATTAGTCCAGTAGTCCGTGGCTACTGGCGGATATTAGACCAGTAGTCCGTGGCTACTGGCGTATATTAGTCCAGTAGTCCGTGGCTACTGGTGGATATTAGTCCAGTAGTCCGTGGCTACTGGTGGATATTAGTCCAGTAGTCCGTGGCTACTGGTGGATATTAGTCCAGTAGTCCGTGGCTACTGGTGTATATTAGCCCAGTAGTCCGTGGCTACTGGTGGATATTAGTCCAGTAGTCCGTGGCTACTGGTGGATATTAGTCCAGTAGTCAGTGGCTACTGGTGGATATTAGTCCAGTAGTCAGTGGCTACTGGTGGATATTAGTCCAGTAGTCAGTGGCTACTGGTGGATATTAGTCCAGTAGTCCGTGGCTACTGGTGGATATTAGTCCAGTAGTCCGTGGCTACTGGTGGATATTAGTCCAGTAGTCCGTGGCTACTGGTGGATATTAGTCCAGTAGTCAGTGGCTACTGGTGGATATTAGTCCAGTAGTCCGTGGCTACTGGTGGATATTAGTCCAGTAGTCCGTGGCTACTGGTGGATATTAGTCCAGTAGTCAGTGGCTACTGGTGGATATTAGACCAGTAGTCCGTGGCTACTGGTGGATATTAGTCCAGAAGTCCGTGGCTACTGGTGGATATTAGCCCAGTAGTCCGTGGCTACTGGTGGATATTAGCCCAGTAGTCCGTGGCTACTGGTGGATATTAGCCCAGTAGTCCGTGGCTACTGGTGGATATTAGCCCAGTAGTCCGTGGCTACTGGTGGATATTTGCCCAGTAGTCCGTGGCTACTGGTGGATATTTGCCCAGTAGTCCGTGGCTACTGGTGGAGGGAGGAAGTGAGAGTATTCTTTATGGTCAGGGTGAGACAAGAGAGCGTGGAGGAGCAGTGGGTCAGGGTGAGACAAGAGAGCGTGGAGGGGCAGTGGGTCAGGGTGAGACAAGAGAGCGTGGAGGGGCAGTGGGTCAGGGTGAGACAAGAGAGCGTGGAGGAGCAGTGGGTCAGGGTGAGACAAGAGAGCGTGGAGGAGCAGTGGGTCAGGGTGAGACAAGAGAGCGTGGAGGAGCAGTGGGTCAGGGTGAGACAAGAGAGCGTGGAGGAGCAGTGGGTCAGGGTGAGACAAGAGAGCGTGGAGGAACAGTGGGTCAGGGTGAGACAAGAGAGCGTGGAGGAGCAGTGGGTCAGGGTGAGACAAGAGAGCGTGGAGGAGCAGTGGGTCAGGGTGAGACAAGAGAGCGTGGAGGAGCAGTGGGTCAGGGTGAGACAAGAGAGCGTGGAGGAACAGTGGGTCAGGGTGAGACAAGAGAGCGTGGAGGAGCAGTGGGTCAGGGTGAGACAAGAGAGCGTGGAGGAGCAGTGGGTCAGGGTGAGACAAGAGAGCGTGGAGGAGCAGTGGGTCAGGGTGAGACAAGAGAGCGTGGAGGAACAGTGGGTCAGGGTGAGACAAGAGAGCGTGGAGGAGGAGCAGTGGGTCAGGGTGAGACAAGAGAGCGTGGAGGAGCAGTGGGTCAGGGTGAGACAAGAGAGCATGGAGGAACAGTGGGTCAGGGTGAGACAAGAGAGCGTGGAGGAGGAGCAGTGGGTCAGGGTGAGACAAGAGAGCGTGGAGGAGCAGTGGGTCAGGGTGAGACAAGAGAGCATGGAGGAACAGTGGGTCAGGGTTAGACAAGAGAGCGTGGAGGAGGAGCAGTGGGTCAGGGTGAGACAAGAGAGCGTGGAGGAGCAGTGGGTCAGGGTGAGACAAGAGAGCGTGGAGGAGCAGTGGGTCAGGGTGAGACAAGAGAGCGTGGAGGAGAAGCAGTGGGTCAGGGTGAGAGTGAGACAAGAGAGCGTGGAGGAGGAGCAGTGGGTCAGGGTGAGAGTGAGACAAGAGAGCGTGGAGGAGGAGCAGTGGGTCAGGGTGAGAGTGAGACAAGAGAGCGTGGAGGAGAAGCAGTGGGTCAGGGTGAGAGTGAGACAAGAGAGCGTGGAGGAGGAGCAGTGGGTCAGGGTGAGAGTGAGACAAGAGAGCGTGGAGGAGGAGCAGTGGGTCAGGGTGAGAGTGAGACAAGAGAGCGTGGAGGAGGAGCAGTGGGTCAGGGTGAGAGAACAGTGTGGTGTGTGTTCACAGGCCTCAGGCGCCGCTAATGTTTACACTAGCCGCTGTGACCGACCACACACACCAGCTGCCGCTCTCTATCTCATCTGTGTATTCTCTCGGCTACCTTAACGCAATATTCTCATGCCACCAGTCAAAACCACAGACAATGCCGAGGGTGTAGTCATTAAAGTGTTAGTGAGAGTGTTAGTGAGAGTGGGAGAGGGTGAAGAGCACGTGTGTGTAGGGGTCCACGTGTCCCGGGCAGCCATAACACAGGCCGCTCTCCTCTCCTGTAAAGTGTTAAGCATTGTATTGATTACACCGACAATGAAACTGTAAATTATTGTATTAATTACACCGGCACTAAAACTGATAGGTAGTAGTGCTGAATTGGTTAACATATATAATGGAGCCGAGTAATGGGAACATAACACATAAATGACACAGTAAGCACAGTAGGCTATTAATTTAAGGAGAGCCCAATAGGCTCAGGAATCTGTACTGCAGTTGATTGCCAGTTGAGTGGCGGGACTCAAGAGCCAGAGTTAGCTCCCACAAGCACAGCTAGGTGAGTACACCCTGAGCCAGGCAGAGGCTTACGGCCCAGGCAGGAATATCCCGGGGGGGGGAGGGGGAGGACACATTCTTGGGAGAAATTCGTGGATGTCTGCCATAAAGACGGGTGGGACTGGCCGCGTGTTGATAAACACTGGACCACACGTGTACCTCTTTGTATCGTGTTGTTGTTGTTGTTGTTATCTCTCTCAGTACCGCGTTGTTGCTGCTATCTTTCTCAGTACCACTTGTATGATGATGTTATGTTGAGCCCAGCACCGTGAGGAGGGCTGGTGATCTCCCTCCCACCCTCAACCCCAACCCTCACACCAAGGACAATCACCCCTGCCCATCACCTCCTACCCTCCACACTGAGAGTGAGAGTGATGGGACTCCGTCACCTTACCGCCACACAGCCCCCACTGGAGCCCTTCCACACATCATTTATATTGAAAGTCTGCACACTGCTGACAACCAAGCATGGAGATCACTCCCTCTTTAGCTCTCTCTCATCACAAACTTACCACAAACCAGTCTCCGTGGTGTAGTGGTAAGACACTCGCCTGGTGTTCCGCGAGCGCTATGTCATGGGTTCGTATCCTGGCCGGGGAGGATTTACTGGGCGCAATTCCTTAACTGTAGCCTCTGTTTAACGCAACAGTAAAATGTGTACTTGGATGAAAAAACGATTCTTCGCGGCAGGGGATCGTATTCCAGGGACCATAGGATTAAGGACTTGCCCGAAACGCTACGCGTACTAGTGGCTGTACAAGAATGTAACAACTCTTGTATATATCTCAAAAAAAAAAAAAAAAAAACATGGGATGTGGGGAGGTTACATGTGGGCGGGGGAGGGACGCTGTATTGGTGTTACGGTGAACAGTATTAGAACGTTGCCCAATACTGTCACTATGGAAGCATGTTCACTCACAGGATATTTTTATTATTATTATTTTCTACCACAGACGTGGCCACACATTAACAATGCTAACCAGCATATATACATTTTCTTCTGTCCTCCATGGACTGGGTTAGAGATGAGTTAAACATATAGTTCAGGGATTTATTGAACAATCAACCACAGACGGTGATTGTAGTGCTTTTTAAAATGCTAGGCTAAGCTACATACATAAATACACAGATTTACGTATGCCCTACATAAAGTGTTCGATGTGTCTTTTACATAGTGTCATTAACGTGCATTTACAAAGGTGAAATGGAATTCTGATCAACTTCCACATATACTTTATACACATACATATACACACCACACACATATACGCAAATATACATATATACACACATGCATACACATACATTTGTCTCTTTTACTCTGACAGGGTGAGATAACTGATAGAGAAACTAGTGTGCAATTAAGCACTTAATCACTGAAGGTGATTAAGGTGCTTTCACAAGCTCAGGTTATAGAGTTACATCACATACATTCATTGTATAATTGATACATTACATGGTTAATCTAGGGTACAAGTCCAATATATCATCAAGTGTTCCAGTACTCATAAAGTAGTTACAGAGTTCAGCATACCTTAGCCCAGGAGGGCGAAAGTCAGTCAGTATGGGACATTCTACAATATAATGTTCAAGAGAGTGCATGTTTTCTCTTTCACAAAGTTGACACATTGTGTACTAGACATTTGGGTTTTGAGAAAGCTGCCAGATACGTCTATATCCCAGGCGTATTCTGGCCACTATAACATCACATTGCCGGGTTCTTGTTCTATTAGTCCCATATGTGAATGTCTCCTCACGATATCTATCATAATATTTAATGCTACAACTTTCAGGTCTTTGTGAATTTGTTAGGTCGGTGAGATCTTCATTAGGTATTCTCTTTATCACTGCTAATGAAACACCCATATCAATTTCTACCACTGGTTTTCTACAGGCTGTCTTTGCAAGCATATCAACAGTGTCATGCCTTGAGATGCCAACATGTGATGGTATCCATAGGAATTTAATGTCAAATCTCTTTTCTTTGGCAGCTAAAACATTCATTCGAATATCACTGACTATTTTATGGGTGTCACTACTATGTGCGTTCAATGCCAGGAGTGCACTCTGCGAGTCACAGTATATAAGTCCACTGCCTTTGTCTTTTAAAAATTCAGTGGCAAGGTATATGCCTGCATGTTCGGTTTGACTTGTACTTGCCCAGTCACTGACGCGCTTCATTGCTGTATGTACGAGAGAAGATTGTTCAAATATGTTACATGCGCAACCAGTACATCGTCCACCTTCTTCTACAGAGCCGTCGGCATAGCACTGATACACATCGTTACCCATACCCTGAGTACTTTCAGTGATGCTTTTCAGTGTTAACTGTTTTAATAATGTAAAGTGCACACTATCTTTCTTGGGCGCATTTACAAAATCAACTGCTAGATCGGATGAGTAATGCGGCCCAATCCTGTCACTATGGCGGTGTGTTGACTCACAGGATGAGTGGCGCTGTCCAATACTGTTACTAATGCAGCAAGTTCACTCACAGGATGAGTGGGGCTGTCCAATACTGTAACTAATGCAACATATTCACTCACAGGTTGAGGATTTGATTGTTGCCGCCGAAGGCGGCTAGTTTATTGTGCACCCCATACTCATCCTGTGAGCGGTAGCGCAAAAGCATTACAGAGGGCACAAAAGGTCTTTATCAGACCTCATCTTAGATTATTACATAAACAATTTCTTCAATCCTTCACACCTTATAGATACAATGTCAGCTAGTTACAGAGAAAGTGCTATTACAAGAGCTACATATTTACAGTAAGTCATCATACATTAATGGTAGGTTTTATCGTTAATACATAATAGTTTGGCCAATGGGGATATTACAGAGTCATAGGGGAGCTTCTGTTTATTATTAGTCCTCACAATACACTACTTGTTTCTGAATCTCATATGTCGTTCATCTACTGGAAGCAAAATGTGGATACAGTGCAAGGATTTCAGGTAATTTATCCATGGTAATAAGATAGGTTGCCATATCATACAGAGTGAGCTTAGACTTATCTCTAAAAGGCTCAATTTTACAACAGTCCAAGATATAGTGTTCGAGTGTGTGTCCCTGCCTATGTCCACACACTTTACACTTTACTTCATCTAGATCCCTATACAAGCCGAACTGCCAGAGATACTTGTAGCCAAGTCTTATACGAGCTGTGACAACATCTGTTACTCTACTGACTTTGTTACTTGCCCCATACACATGTTTTACTTCACACATTTCATTGTGATGAACAATGGACCTACTAGTTCCAGTTTGCACTGTTCTACTTTCTTCAAATCCATCTAGGAGTTCTCGTCTAATGACACTTTTAAGGGACCTATTTGATAACTCAAGATTCCATTCAATACTGTCTTTATTTACTGCAGCCTTAGCAAGGGCGTCAACTTTGTCATGTTCCTGCATGCCAATGTGAGAAGGAATCCACAACATTTTTATATTTACCCTCTTGCTAAGTATTCTTACATATCTACGTCTAGCTTCCAAGACAAGCACGTTATTACTTGATTGCAAACTGTTTATTGCTCGTAGTGAGGATAGGGAGTCAGAAATAATTAAGCTGTCTACTTCAGTGTTGTCAATAATTTCGAGTGCTACCAGTATCGCTACCAACTCGGCCTGCATTGTGGACGCCCAGTTACTAATTCGGACGCTATCCAATCCTGTCACTATATCGGTGTGTTCACTCACAGGATGAGTGACGTTGCCCAATCCTGTTTCTATGACATCATGTTCACTCACAAGATGAGTGACACTGTCCAATATTGTCACTATGGCAGCATGTTCACTCACTGGACGAGTGACACGGCCCAATCCTGTCACTTTGGCGGTGTGTTCACTCACAGGGTGAGTGGCGCTGTCGAATACTGTCACTAACGCACCATATTCACTCACATGATGAGTTGTGGGTAAATCTAGCTCTAGTATATAATAATATTAAATGTTTCGAAGGACCATTCTTTATATTGAAGAATTAGAGAACCAGTGCCTATGGATCACTTTTATTAAATGCAAAATGAAATCAAGTAAATCTTACTATCTTCTTCTTCTTTGGTAGTGTCACCCTAGTTAAATTATGAGGAGTTAAACTGTTCATTTGTGAATGGGTTAGGCTACAGTGCTGTACCCCTCTACAGACTTAAGGAAGCACATAGCTTAACAGAGTTATTTATGAGTAGTAGTAACTACTTCGTTTATATGTATTAGGCTACAGTGCTATAGTCCTCTTGAGACTTAACGAAGCACGTAGCTTAAAGAATTTCATGCTGAGCAGTAATGGTTGCTCAGGTTACCATGATGAGCAGTAATGGTTGCTCAGGTTACCATGATGAGCAGTAATGGTTGCTCAGGTTACCATGCTGAGCAGTAATGGTTGCTCAGGTTACCATGATGAGCAGTAATGGTTGCTCAGGTTACCATGATGAGCAGTAATGGTTGCTCAGGTTACCATGATGAGCAGTAATGGTTGCTCAGGTTACCATGCTGAGCAGTAATGGTTGTTCGGGTTACCATGATGAGAAGTAATGGTTGCTCAAGTTACCATGCTGAGCAGTAATGCTTGCTCAGGTTACCATGCTGAGCAGTAATGGTTGCTCAAGTTACCATGCTGAGCAGTAATGCTTGCTCAGGTTACCATGCTGAGCAGTAATGGTTGCTCAGGTTACCATGCTGAGCAGTAATGCTTGCTCGGGTTATTGTGGTGAGCAATAATGGGCTTGAATGATCATGGTGAGCAATAATGGGTGATGAGAGGAAATGTCAGCACTGTGGAGAAATGCCCGACAGACTACTGGAACATTATCTAACACAGTGCACAGTTACAGCCACAACAGACCACTGGAACATTATCTAACACAGTGCACAGTTACAGCCACAACAGACCACTGGAACATTATCTAACACAGTGCACAGTTACAGCCACAACAGACCACTCCAACATTATCTAACACAGTGCACAGTTTCAAACACATTAAGATTCCAACTTAGATTCAATAGAGCAGAAGAAGTTATTAAACACATATCTTACTAAGGCGACCATATGAGTCATAAATACTCATACTCCGCCCAAGTAAAACAGAAACAAGCAACACTTAGTGGGCCAGCCAGAGGCTTAGGGCCCGCGCAGAGGGCCAGCCAGAGGCTTAGGGCCCGCGCAGGAGAATCCCTGCAAAAAATAATGGGTGCTCGATTTATAATTATTGGGCTACGATGCTATAGTCCTCTAGAGACTTAACGAAGCCTAAAGGGAGTCTAAAGAATTTAATTGGCAGTCCCTTTGTTGTGACTCATCTTAAGCAATATAATCTGCTGAGTTAATAGGTGTTAATTCACTAGATTATGGGAAACCTAGGGTTGTTGGACAAAATTAATTCATTGTTACTACGACCAATCATGCTTGGAAGATAATTTGTAATGGATTATCCCAACCCATATGCAAGATTTCAATTTTGCTCGTGCTAGGTGCTGATCCAAAAACGTTTTCTAAAGTTGCTTAAAGGCAGAAGTGAGAAAAAAGAAGTAGCCCAAACAACACTGCAAGTGGAAATTTCATTAGGTAAATTACGAGAATCCTAGTTCAGAGAAACTTTGATTAAACGCAGTTGTCTGGTTAAGACTAGTCTAAGGTTTTCTTGGCAAGACCTTATGGGCCAGTGGTTATTTAGGACCTTGGTCCTGGTAAATTTTCAGGTATGGAAGTTTCTGGATTACTTCATGGTCCTGCGTGATTTATTGGGTACTAGAATTTTCTAGCTTAATTTATTTGTTTTACGTAGGGACTGAGTGTGGTCAATTATACCTGTCGAGAATAGTTCTGGGTCTACAGTGGGGTTGGTTGCTGCGACTTGCACTGGTTTAGGCTGCTGACCACTGATTATCCACTGAGATCCATAAAAACATCTTGGCTAATATTAATTGTACCAGACTCAATCTGGATTTATTTACTCAACTGTTTTCTCCTTTATGCTGGTTGCCACAGAATTATTTTCAGCTGATGGTTTAGTTTCTATTAATATCTATTGTTAGCAGACATAGGCTTGTTCAGGTTTTAAACTTTACCTGTAAGTAGGTAGCCTCTTGCTGATTTGAGCAAATTCATGCCCCGTTGTTTAACTTGACCAGTAATAAACTGGTATTAATTGTCTGCTCCTACTAGTACATTTACATCGGTGAGGCGGTTAGACGTTAACTCGTTGCCAGCCAATTTAACTCCATTTTGCTGTAGGAATCTGGTTGTATTCCCTAGACCCTTAACATTTAGGTCAAACGGGATTTGATCTACTACTATGGGCTGAACGGGCCTGACATAGCCACCTAGGCGTACTAGTGGTTGGACTACTGTATTCCTGGGGGTCTTCTATTTATCATGAACCCTGACAGGTTTAATTAGACCTATGTTATTGGTTTTAATTTAAGTGCCTCTGCCGCTTTCTGGGTAATAAAGGTTTTCTGGGACCCCTTGATCGAATAGGCCACGAATGGCGATCTTGGCCCTTTTATTCTAGACTTGGAGTTGGGCAGAAGGCAATGTTGCATTAACTTGAGATGCTGGTGATTGACCGCTGTAAACTTCTCGCAACTTGCAGCACTGTACTTGTGTAAGATTTCTATCTCTTACCTTGGAGTTTGAAAATTTGATTTAATATTTGATATTTGCACAGTGCAGCATGATGCTGCCGTCTTCAACACCTATTGCAGGTGTTCAGTGGGGTCTCACAGCTGTTAGTATTATGTGGTTTGAGACACCTGGTACATCTGTGTAACTGTTTAGTCGTCTGACTCGGGTGTCTCTATTAGGGTAACTTGTACAGTTATATACAGAATGGTTTTAATTGCAAAACAAACATAACTCCCAGACTACAGCATGGTTAAGGTTCACCGGTTTAGGTGAAACATTGTCTACAAGTTTTGAAGGCTTTGGTGTTTGCATGTATTTATTAGTTTGTTTCTTGAGAGTACTTGTTGTACTCTTGGGAGTAATTATTGGGTTCTATAGGGAGTACTTATGTTATTCTTAGGTCTCACTGATAAATAAATTTTTGGTCTGTTAATATTATATTGATTATTAGTTCCTGTATTACCTAATGACTGTGTCACTTTAAGAGTTTCAATTAAAGAATTTAATGTGGGTACTGTCTCTGTTGATTGAGTATAGGCATTAGGTGCCTGGTCTGCCTGTCTTTGATTCATGGCAATATACAAACCTGCTAATATATCCTGCATTGTCAGGACGGTATTATTCTGATAAGAATATAATTCATTTAGCACCTCGCTAGACAACATTCTTTGGATGACAATTTTAGTCATTTACTCAGCAGTGGATTGATCCACTTCACTGCTGAAGGATTTTAACAGTGACTAGTTTTAGACTAAATGTTTGCAAGGAGTCAACTGATTGATCTGGTTAAGTCCAGTAGCTGGTGCATAAGATTTATGATAGCCTTCTCGTTGTCAGTACTTTCTCTAGAGAGCTGGATGGCTTGATTGGTGCTATCATGTTCAGCATTACCTCTAAGAGGCTGATTTGAGTGATTAGGACTATCACTAATTTGGCTTAAGGCTTCTTGCTTAGCCTCAGCCTCAATTTCAGCTTCAGCTTTTAATACAGCTTCAGCTTTTAATTCAGCTTCAACTTTTAATTCAGCTTCAGCTCCTAATTCAGCTTCAGCTGTATCTTCATCTTCTGTTTCAGCTTCACTGTCTGTTACAGTTTCACTTCTTTCTTTGGGTTCATCTGGGAAGCATAATAATTCAGTAGCCTCATGTACTGAATTCTCAGAATCCATGGAATATATGGATGAGCCCTCTGAAAGCTATTCAGATTCGGTTAATATATCATTAGGTAAGGTTGTATTTAATAAAACTGTAGAAAATGATGGTTTAACTACAATTATTGATCCAGTGTAAGGATCTAATTTAATTAGAGGAGTATCCTCATCTTGCTTTAGCTCATTTATTTTATCTGATGAGTTGGGTGCTTGCTTTGGTATAGGTATACTATAAAGGTGTTCCAACCCAGCAGGAACATTTTCTGTTGCAAGCATCTTATTATAGTAATTTAACCTGGCCTAAATTTCGTCTACATAGTTGGCTAGGTCAGATATAAGTTGATATATTTCATCTGGGTCAGTATTACTGACATTGAGTGCACCTGTGTACATCACAATAATTTCTTGTACTTGTTTGAGTTTCTGGTTAGCTATCTTTGCTGAGAATTCCAGCGATATGAGATCAACTGGATACATTTTTTTTTTTTTTTTTGAGATATATACAAGAGTTGTTACATTCTTGTACAGCCACTAGTACGCGTAGCGTTTCGGGCAGGTCCCTGGAATACGATCCCCTGCCGCGAAGAATCGTTTTTTCATCCAAGTACACATTTTACTGTTGCGTTAAACAGAGGCTACAGTTAAGGAATTGCGCCCAGTAAATCCTCCCCGGCCAGGATACGAACCCATGACATAGCGCTCGCGGAACGCCAGGCGAGTGTCTTACCACTACACCACGGAGACTGTCTATCTAGCTGTCACATATGTTGAGTAGCCTTGTCAAGTGACTTTGAAGGTCTTTCAAGGTTATTTCTAACTTTCTTGGTGTAGCCATGTTGGCTATGAGTTTGAGCTGTATAGAGCTTATGTAGCTAATTTTGACAGCTATGGTACTTGCTCTCATATGTGTGGGGCAGGTACAGTTATTAATAGCCTAATATTTAATTTCTTAGGTTATGTTTAATCCTACCTCGTATAGAGGTTAGGTTTCCTACCTAACAGGAGCACTTAAGATTTGAGTGATGCTTGGATGCCACTACGGTTGCACCTGGGGTTAGCTTATTATTATCACCCTCGGTTGGTATAGTGACACCTAGTAACACTCAAAGGAGTATACAGTAAGAAATACAATAAAATAAATACACAATTTGTGTAAAGATAATAAATTTCACCCTACTTAGGATCTGCACAACATTAAATAGTAATTAACCAGTGCTGTCTAACACAGTACTAGTCTGGTATTAATCCTACCTAATAAAGTAACTAATAATAAGTTAGGCTAGAGTTGTACATAACTTAGTACAATTCCAGTCTAAAAATATCCTATCCAATGTGGATTGGCATAAATACAAAAATTATGTGCAATAATGTTGATATATCAGTGCTATGTTTTTGGGTTTTGTAGTTTTGATATATACAATATACATTTATAAGAAATACATGTATAAGAAATTTAAATATGTACAGTTAATGTTGGCTTGCTAGCCACAACCTCCTGTGGTGATTAATGGTATTAATTAATTTATCGACCACATGTGCCCTAGACTCTGGTGACAAGTGTACTCCATCTGG